TTCTCCTTTTCCTTCAGTTTTTGGTTTAGAAGAAATATGACTTTGGGAATATTATGTTAGTATATTTCATGATATTACAGTAGAAAGTTTAAATAACAAGGAATATGTGTGTGTGAGTGTGTGTGCGCATACACACACACACACACACACACACATATTGATGTAAGGATTTGACACAAGAACAAAGCCAGGAAATTAGAAATATGGCTTTGGTTTTGTATCTGAGCCGCCTCCTGGGTTTTGATGCTGGAATGGTCTCATAGCAGGACTTCATCGTCTGTCCTTATAGGTAGTGAGGCGCTAGGAAGAACTAGAGACAAGGTGATCTTGTGTTCCATAATTTCATAAGGAAGAGTATAGTTTCCCTCATATGTGAAAAAAATTATTACAAATAATTGTACTTGAGCCAGAGAAATAGTGTGAGCAAAACAGTGAGACAAATTTCAAGTTTATTAATACACTTTTTTAAGTACACTAGAGGCCCGGTGCACAAAAATTTGTGCACTCGGGGCGGGGGGGAGGTCCCTCTGCCCAGCCTGTGCCCTCTCGCAGTCTAGGACCCCTTGTGGATCGGGCCTAAGCTGGCAGTCAGACATCCCTCTGGCAGCCTGGGAGCCCTCGGGGGATGTCCACTTGCCAGCGGGGAGCAGGCCTAAGCTGCAGTTGGACATCCTTAGCGCTGCTGAGGAGGCGGGAGAGGCTCCTGCCACCACCACTATGCTGGCAGCCATTAGCCTGGCTTGTGGCTGAGCAGAGCTCCCCCTGTGGCAGCACACTGACCACCAGGGGGCAGCTCCTGCATTGAGCATCTGCCCCCCTGGTGGTCAGTGTGTGTCATAGTGACCAGTCATTCCTAGTGGTTCTGCTGTTAGGGTCAATTTGCATATTACCCTTTTATTATACAAGATAGAGGCCTGGTGCATGGGTGGGGGCCGGCTAGTTTGCCCTGAAGGGTGTCCCGGTTCAGGGTGGGGGTCCCACTGGGGTGCCTGGCCAGCCGGGGTGAGGGGCTGAGGAACATTTTCAGGCTGGCCACACCCCTTCAGAGTGGGGGTCCCCACTGGAGTTCCTGGCCAGCCTGGGTGAGGGGCTGATGGCTGTTTGCAGGCTGGTCAAGCTCCCCAGTGGGGACCCTCACCCCATGGGGGTGTGACCAGCCTGGGTGAGGGGCTGAGGGCTGTTTTCAGGCTGGCCACACCCCCTTAAGAGTAGGGGTCCCTACTGAGGTGCCTGGCCAGCCTGGGTGAGGGGCTGATGGCCATTTTCAGGCTGGCCACGGCCACGGGCTGGAAGCAGGTATCTGGGATTTATTTAACTTCTGTAATTGAAACTTTGTAGCCTTGAGCAGAGCCCAGAGCTGGCCAGGGCAGGTGGGAAGCTTGGTTTCCTCCATCGCTGGGGGCAACCCAAGCCTCCTGCTCACTCCAGCTCCATGGTCACCGCCATCTTTGTGATGGAGTGACAGAGTGAGGGAGTGATAGTTAATTTGCATATTACTCTTTTATTGGATAGGATATTCATTATACAGATATACTGCATAGAAAAGAAAACATGTTAAACATGAAAATGAAAATAAATATGTGAAGTGTATCATAGTTGTTCACATTATATCCAGATGTGTAGAGGAAAACATTTATTTTTCTAAATCTGTCTTCATCTTTCTATCCCTTTAATTAGAAGGCTTAAGTTTGGCCATAGACAGAAATGGCATAGAAGAACATAACTGTATTCACCTGGAAACTGTGGGAGGGGTGAAATGTCACCGAGGTTAGTGTCTCCTGGCTGTCATCATTACCAATGCAGACCCTTTCAGGAGTAAAGCACTCTCAGAGCTGTCCTCTGGTCTCCAGCAGATTCAGATTAGTAAACATGAACTCTTAGGTGCATAGGGAACAAGCATCAAAGTCAGCAGCATAAGAAAAAATTAGTCCCTCAAGAACTTTAAGTATTGGAATTGTCAAATTCAGAATATAAAATTAGTAAGACATGTTTAAATTTAAAAAATGATACATCATAATAAACAAGCAACAACAAGATGTAAAAATGTCTAGGCAGATTTGAAAAAGAAAGAATTTCAGATATAAAAAATAGTTATTAAAATAAAGTATTAAATAGCTACCTTAAATATTAGACTACTGAGAAACAATTAGATGGACCTAAGTAAGTTACTGAGAATATTGGGAGGCAACCAATCAGTGTTTCTCACATCAATGTTTCTCTCTCTCTCCCTCTTCCTTCCTCTTTCTCTAAGACCAATAAAATAAGAAATAAAACATATTCTAGGGTGAGGATTAAAAAAAAAGACCCCCCCAGAGATTGTTTTTTGTTTGTTTTTACCTTTTTATTTTATATATGCATTTTTTTCTTTCAGGGACATAATCTTTTATTTATTTTTCATCACTATTTTATCCACCCTATACCATTTTCTACCTCCACCTTCCTCCTCCTCCCTGCAATCCAGAGAGCTATTTTTGTTATCTGAGTCAAAATTGCAGAGTTTAAATAGAGAGGAATCTTATTTTATCCACCTTAAATTATCTTTTACAATTGGAGACTGTATTTGCCTATTGTGCTCATAAAGGATACAATATCCTTAAGATGATCGTATATAATAAAAGCCCAGCGACTGAACGGTGGAACGACCAGAATGACCAGCTGACCAGTCACTATGATGCACACTGACCACCAGTGGGCAGATGCTCAACGCAGGAGCTGCCCACTGGTGATTAGTGCGCTACCACAGTGGGAGCGCTGCTCAGCTGACCGGGATGAGTGGCTGCTCCTGCTGCGAACCCAGGGCCAATGGGCAGGAACCCGGGCTGCTATCATTGCCTTCTCACCCGAGACTCCTCCTTCTTACTCGCTGCCACCTCCTCTGGATGCCCATAGGCCACACAGTGCCGCCTCCAAGCTCACAGAACTGACCCCAGAGACTGGGGGGCTGGTTCGTGGCCGCAGCAGGAGTGAGACCTACTCCGCCTCTTCTCAGTGCTATTGTACCTGGGCCTGGCCCCAACCAGGTCCCCTGGAGAGGCGAGTGCTCCAGCTCCATGAAGGATGCCGGACCAGGGAGCAGCCGCTCAGCTGAGTGGGATGAGTGGTGCTCCCATAGCAGCCAATCCCTGCAGGCCATGCCCCCCACCAGTGCACAAATCCCATGCACCGAGCCTCTAGTATAACAATGCTTGATTCATGTTTTATCATATTTTCTCAAGTATTCTTATCTTTGATCCTCATAGTGGGTTGTACGGTAGCTCTAGAACAATATGTCCACATCCTTTTCCCCAGAATTTGTGAATGTGACCTTATTTGGAAAAAGGGTCTTTGGCAGATATAATTAAGTTAAGGATCTGGGGACAGAGAATTTGGAAAAAGGGTCTTTGCAGATGTAATTAAGTTAAGGATCTGGGGACAGAGAATTTGGAAAAAGGGTCTTTGCAGATGTAATTAAGTTAAGGATCTGGGGATAGAGAATTTGGAAAAAGGGTCTTTGCAGATGTAATTAAGTTAAGGATCTGGGGACAGAGAGATCATCCTGGATTACCAGGGGGGATTCTAATCCAGTGACAAGTGTTCTTTTAAGAAACACAAGAGGTCAAAACACAGACACAGAGAGAACCAAGATGGCAGCATAGGTACACCTGTACTTGCTGCCTCTCACAACCACATCAAAACTACAACTAAAAGACAAAACAACTATCATCCAGAACCGTGGGAAAGCTGGCTGAGTGGAAGTTCTACAACTAGAAGGAAAGAAAAAAGTGCTTTGAGACGGGTAGGAGGTGTGGAGGTGCGGAGGCGCACACAGAACAGGATGGCAACGGGGTGCACTGTTGTTGTTGTTTTTCATTCGGGAGGGAGATACAAGCTCCTGATGGTTCTGAACTCCAGTTCTGGGCAAGACTCTGGGGACCCATACTCATACGGGGAGAAACTGGACTGTCTGGCATCAGGCCGGAATGCGAGGGCGGCTTTCTCTCAGAGGTGCTTGCAGCAATCATTGTTTCTTCGAGAGGGCTCCTGATGCAGTGACGGGGACACAGGGACCTCTCCGGTGCAGGGCTGACTGGCAGCCATTGCTGTTTGCTCCACCCTAGTGATTCCCTGAGACTGCACCCCACCCAATTTACAGCCCCACCCAAGCTGTGTGCAGTGGCTTTTGCATATGAATGGCCTGTTCTTTCTCAGCTTAAACCTGTCAAACTGCAGCTGGATCAGAGAGCCCCAAAGCTTCCAAAAGAAGGCCCAAGGCCCAGCAGCAGCAGCCTGCCTTGCTTCACAGCTGGGCCTAATCTGGGCACTTCCAAACCCCAAACAAAGAGGAGGAATCTCTGGATCACTCTGTAGCTCATGCTGGGTGGCCTCAGGTAGTGGCTGACTTCGCACCTCCTTGGAGATCCAAGAGCCAGTGTGCCCAGTGGTCAGTGTGAGACCATACTGGATTACAACTCTTCACATCCATAAGCGACACACTCCGGGGCAGACTCAGTGAGCATCAAAGATGCACTGAAGCAAGCCCTGCCCCATAAGGGTGTCACTTGCACAGCAGTCCTTCCATTGTAGACACAGCTGGTCCGCACAGCCAATTGGCCTGGAGGTCAATTCCTCCCAGTGATACCAACAGCAATCAAGACTTAACTACAAGACTGTGCACACAGCCCACAAAGGGGTGCACCAAGAGTGTCCACCTTAGGTGATTGGGGAGGCTGAGCCACTGGGCCCTATAGGACACCCACCACACAAGGTCACTCTATCAACACAGGGAAGCAGCCAAAAAGTGGAGACAAAGAAAAATTTGACGAATGAAACAAATGAAGCAAAATACTGGATATAGAGTTCAAAACCACAGTTATAAGGTTACTCAAGAATCTTCTAAAAACCTCCAAGGAACTTAGTGAGACCTTCAAGAATCTTAGTAATACCTTCAAGTATCTTAGTGAGAATGCCAAAAAATGGAAAAGGACCAGTCAGAAATTAAGCATACACTGACTGAAATAAAGAATAATATACGCTCCCTCCCACCGCAACTGGAACTAGGCGCACTGCGCGACTGTGAGGCTGGGCCTCTCGTCCGCTCCGAAAGCCTCGCGAGGCTTGGGGCTGCGTTCTTTGTGAGGGCGTCGCCGGGGGCCAGGTGCTGGGGTCCGGGTGCTGGGGTGGCGTCCGGAGTGGCTCGCTGGCTGGTATTGGCGCCTGTCCGATATGGGGCTCTCTGGAGAGGACCGAGCTTGACGAAAGATGGAGATATCTCCACCGGACGGGGCGGCTCAGGTCAGAGCCTGGTACCGTCGAGGTCAGTCATAGTTACTCGCAGCGGCGCCATTTTGCCCAAACCGGTGAAAATGTCCTTCGGCCTCCTCCATGTGTTCTCCATTGTGATCCCCTTCCTCTATGTCGTGATGCTCATTAGCAAGAACTTTGCCGCTCTACTTGAGGAGCATGACATTTTTGTCCCAGAGGACGACGATGATGACGACTAACAGGCCATGAAGTTCAGGAAGGAGAAAGCCCTCCCTGAATCAAGACGTGGCAATGCTCACAGCCCCTCCTCCTTGCCTATCAGCAGAAGGGACGAGCGAAAGCCCTCAGCCTCCCAACTCCAGTGAAGCCTCCTGCAAGGCACATGCCCACAGCCCTTTGTCCCAGGCTCTGGGAGGGTCCCCGAGATGCGCAATCCACTGAGCATAACCAGATGATGAATAAACATGACAAATATCAACTATGCATGAGTGATGGCCGGATTTCTCAGTATGAGTAGGTTCTAGCTGTTGTAGTTTCTTGTCTCTGCTGTTTGTTCTCTAATAGGCCTTTGATTTACAACCCAGGGTCTCCAGGCCCTTATGGATCCATAATTATGGGGCCTGGCACCTATTTTCATTATTTACAAAACCCCACAGAAACTCTTTCCCTCAGTAAAGCTGTACAGGCCAACTAAACCCCCAAACTTTCTTTGTGTGGAATAACACTGGCTAATTGTCACATGCCAGTCTATCATGGCTTTGGTTGTTAGTTTAAAACCACAAAATATTAAAATGATTATTTTAAAAAAAAAAAAAAGAAGAATATACAGAGATTCAACAGTAGACTAGAGGATCCCAAGAATCTTCAAGTCAAAGATTTGAAGTACAAGGAAGCAAAAAACACCCAACCAGAAGAGCAAAAAAAAAAAAAAGAATCCAAAAATATGAAGATATTGTAAGGAGCCTCTGGGACAACTTCAAGTGCAACGACATCCGAATTATGGGGGTGCCATAAAAAGAGCGAGAGCAAGATACTGAAAACCTATTTGAAGAAGTAATGACAGAAAACTTCCCCTAACTGGTGAAAGAAATAGACTTACAAGTCCAGGAAGCCCAGAGAACTCCAAACAAGAGGAATGCAAAGAGGACCACACCAAGACACATCATAATTAACATGCCAAGGGCAAAAGACAAAGAGAGAATCTTAAAAGCAGCAAGAGAAAAATAGTTAGTTACCTACAAGAGTGTGCCCATACAACTGTTTGCTGATTTCTCAACAGAAACTATGCAGGCCAGAAGGGAGTGGCAAGAAATATTCAAAGTGATGAATAGCAAGAACCTACAAGCAAGATTATTCTACCCAGCAAAACTATCATTTAGAATTGAAGGTCAGATAAAGAGCTTCATAGACAAGAAAATGCTAAAGAGTTCATCACTACCAAACCAGTATTATATGAAATACTGAAGGGCATTCTTTAAGAAGAAGAAGGAAAAAAAAGTAAAGATAAAAAATTGTGATCAACAAAGTGACAACAAATACATATCTATCAACAAGTTAATCTAAAAATCAAAGGAATAAAAAATCTGATGAATGGAATAAACTGGTGAATGGAATATAATCAGGGACATGGAAAGGGTGCAGACTGAGAATTCTCAGGGGGAAGAGGGTGTGGAGGGTGTGGGAAGAGATTGGACAAAAATCTTACACCTATGGATGAGGACAGTGTGGGGGAGGTGAGGGCATGGGGTGGGGTGGGAACTGGGTGGAGGGGAGCTATGGGGTTAAAAAAGAGGAACAGCTGTAATAATCTGAACAATAAAGATTAAAAAATAAAAAACTTTGGTACATCTACACCATGGAATACTATGCCACTATAAAAATGAAGGAACTTTTACCATTTGCAACAGCATGGATGGAACTGGAGAGCATTATGGTAAGCAAAATAAGCCTGTCAGAGAAAGATAAATATCACATGATCTCACTCATATGTGGGATATAATGATCTACATAATTTGATGAACATGAATAGATCCAGAGACAAATGGTGGTGGTGGGTTGGGTGGAGAGGTAGAGAGCAACCAAAGGACTTGCATGCATGCATATTAGCATAACCAATGGACACAGACACTGGGGTGGTGGGGGCTTGCCTGGGGTAGGAATGGCTGAAGCGGGGGGTCAATTGGGGACAATGGAGACATATGTAAAACTTTAGACAATAAAAATAAAATAAAACTAAACACACACACACAAACACAAAACACAGACACACAGGAGAAGGTGATGTGAAGATGGAGGTCGAGGTTGGAGTGATGCCACCATAAGCCAAAATTGCATGAAGCTGTGCTACCCAGTGAAAGGCAAGGAGAGGGCTCTTCCCTGGAGCTCCCAGAGGAACGTGGTGGTGCTGAATCAGACCTGCAGCCTCCAGACTACAGAGTAAATTTCAGTTGTTTCACGTTGCCCAGTTGTAGTAATTTGTTATGGCAGCCACAGGAGATTAATGTTGTCCAAAAAATTAAATTTATACTTTCCTCAAAAAGAACAAGTTCTATTTAAAAATGTAATCTGGTGTCTACTATAATATAATGTTGAAGTCAATTTATTTTTTAACTGCAGTTTATATTCAATATTATTTTGTTTCAGTTTCAGGAATACAGCATAGTGGTTAGAAAATCATATACTTTACAAAGAGATCCCCTGGCACCATATGTAGTTATTAGAATATTATTGACTCTATAAGCTGTGCTGTACTTTACTTCCCCGTAACTATCCCTTAACTCAGGGGTGGGCAAACTTTTTGACTCAAGGGCCACAATGGGTTCTTAAACTGGACCCGAGGACCGGAACAAAAGCATGGATGGAGTGTTTGTGTGAACTAATATAAATTCAAAGTAAACATCATTACATAAAAGGGTGCGGTCTTTTTTTTTTTAGTTTTATTCATTTCAAATGGGCCGGATCCGGCCCGTGGGCCGTAGTTTGCCCACGGCTGCCTTAACTTCTAATCTACTTCTCAGTCCCTTCACCTTTCTCCCTCAGGTCCCAACACTGCTTCCTATGTCAACCATCAGTATGCTCTGTGTCTAAGAGTCTGTTTCTGTTTTGTTTGTTCATTTATTTTGTTCTTTAGATTCCACATATAAGTGAAATCATGGTATTTGTCTTTCTCTATCTGAAGTCAGTTTTTCTAGTTTTGTCGTCTTCCCTTATTTCTCTTCAAGATGATATTTGGGTGTTTGGGACACAGATGTTGATAAAGGGGCAGTTGGCATCCTCAGGCCCATGATATACTCGATGGGCCTGCTGCTCTCCGCTGCAGAGTTGCAGGTAAGCTACTCCCTTGCCTGGTGGCCAAGAAGGTGGCACTAGCCCCAGGTCCGGCTCTTCCTGATGTCTGCTACTGATAAAACTCAGGGGCTTCTCTTTCCATAGGACCCTGGGAAGAGTCAGCCTCACTCCATCCCTCACAGGTATATGGACTATATGCCCACCTACTGCCTCATCTCACATGTGGTCCCTGGCCTAGGTGGTCTTACCTCTAAACCTTAACTACAAGGTCCCCCTCTCCTTTCCATCTCAGGCCTCCTCAGTCCCCAGTGGGCCTACTGGCTCTCATGCCACTGCTCACACCTTTCGGAGAGCCTGGCATCACTGCTCAACATGTGCTGAGGCAACTACCCCAGATCCGCTGGCTGGCATCCTCAGAAGATCTCTCCAGATTCCCAACATGAAATAGCACAAAGCTCCTTCTCTCAATGATACCATCAGTCTACTTTACTTGTTAACTCATCCCCAAGAGGCTAGATTAAAATACTGAAGATTCACTTCTGCCTCTCCTCATGTCTTTCTCCACTGGTTCAGAAGGGGTGGAGACTTAGAACCTCTGCTTCTACTCCTTCTTGTCCTTCTGAAAGGACCCCAGTCAGCATGCCTGCCATCAGAACCTGCACGGGCATCGCTGTGGGAGAAAGTTGGGGCTAGGACTACATTTGGTGTTTGCTACACTACAATTATTTAGAAAATTACTTTTTCATGAATCCTTGCTTTTATATTTACCATATTTTTACAGAATCCTATTTTGAATGATAGGATGAATATTCTAATCTTTTTCCAGCCTTGGGCTAACTATGGAGATGATCATGTTGAGAAATGCAAAAGAAAAAAGCCTTCCTATTTTAAAAGATTTATCGCAGTGAAAATGTCCAAGCCCATTTATAACTAATAGAGGTACTTGGCATCGATACAGTACTCTGCAGCCTTTGAATTATGTCCTCAGTATGGATTATTATCCTATCTTATAGACAAGGCAACTACAAAATTAAAACACTTAAGATAATAGCACTGATAACAGTAACAGAATGATCAGTAACTTACATGGTGCATAACCATTTCCATTGTTCTATCTGGAAGACCTCATCTTCGAGGCCTCGGATTGGATATCAAAAACTGAAGCCTGTGTTCAGGTCCTGAAAGGAGCTTTCAGTTCTGCTCCCAGCACAGACCCCTCGGTGTTACCCATGACGGGTGCTCTGGAGCTCCCCTTCACCTTAGCACTTAGTAGGGACTCAGCTCTGAGTTTAAATACATTATAATTACATTTTATCCAGCACATCTTGGTGTGTTTATAATGTGGCAGTTTTTCCTATTTGTTATATTGCTAAAGTTTTGTTCTTTTCATTCTGTCAATGATACTAAAACTCACAATCACAATCTTAGAACTAATATTTGAGCCAAAACTATTTAAAAAAAATGTTTTTGATTTTTAGAGAGGAAGGGAGAGAGAGATAGAATATCAAAGATGAGAGAGAATCATTGATCGGCTGCCTCCTGCATGTCCCCCATTGGGCATCAAGCATGAAACCTGGGCATGTGCTCTGATAGAGAGTCGAATCCAGGATCACTTGTTTCATGGGACGATGCTCAATCCCCTGAGCCACATCAGCAGGGCTAAACTTCTTAATTGATCTCTTTCTTGTGTATATACATTTATGTGGGTACTTTATTTTTCCTAGGTTAATGAGTTTACATAGAAAAAGTAACCTACACTATATGCATCTGCCTTTGGCTGTTTACTAGTATTTAAATCTGTTCTCAATCTCAGAAATTTAAAATCAGAGAATTAACAGACTTAGTCATAAAAGAACTAAGAAATCTGAACTTTTTATTGAGGCTTAATTATAGACACCATTAACATTGTAACATAATAATTACTATAATAGCTAACACTTATTGAAGACTTTCTAATCACATTACCCACATATTCTCACTTAAATATCAAACGTACATGGTAAGTACTGTTATTATTTTACAAACGAGGACATGTATTAATTCTTTACATGTCAGTAGAGATTTATGTTCTACAATGTGGTTTCATCTACATTAGTATGCCTTTGAATTCGGTGTGGTGAATATGACTGTAATGGTAGTTTATAGAGGAAACTATAACTCCAGAGTTATTAAATGATTGATGCTGATAACTGA